AAGAATTGATGTTTTTAAAAGTACGAGTAATTGACGTATTTAAAGTTGTTTTACATCCAATAATATCCTTAAAAAATGTTTATGTTTCCTGTTAAAATATACATAACAATCATATTTACAAATAAACATAACCTTAAACAACGGATGTTACAAAAAAATAAATAATTATCTCTTGCATTTCATTTCGTTAAAACATTATAATTTAGATATATTTGCATAGTACTTAATCATTCCTCAAGGTTCAATATTTCCTGTTGTTCTCATAAGTATTTTGGTATTTAGCGAATTGGATCAATTTACGTTTCAATCAAATAGGTTTTTAATTAAATTACGTGTATTTAACAATTAAACAGCACTCTACAAACCACTTCAAAAGTAAAAGCTGTATTCTTGTTTTTAACCCTTAAGTACTAACACCTTAAATCAATGGCGTAAACACTAACTAACCGCCTGACAGACGGGTTTAACATTTTAGTGAATATTTTTTGTTTTTTATATAGCCTGATTAAAAAAAATATTGCAATGACTTACTGAAAGTATTAGTTATCCAAAAAATATAGTAATTAATATAGTTTATCTGTATTTATTAAAATAAAAAATATTATAACAAGAATGGATCGGTTTTTGTGGAGATTTTTACGCCTGAAAAAAAATGTGATAAAAATTAAACAAATTAAACTATATTGATAAAAATTTATAATCGGGTTAAGTAAAGAGTGTGAAACATTAAAACAATAATATTTTTAAAAAATGTTGACACACAAAAAAAAAACTGACAGTCACTAAAGTTGGTAGAGTGTAGCGCACTCCAAACAAATTTTTTTCGCACATTCCAAACAAATTGGTTTCTGACAATGAAAGCAGACATAAGCTGTTCTTCTTTTCTTTTTATAATGACAGTAAGAACAGTCCTTTCTTTTTTCTAATTTTTCCACTCTTACTTTTGGACGCTGTTGAGGTTCATCTATATTCAGTATCTCGCATATGCTCAACTTTATTTTTCTAGGTAAAGAGGAACTTTCTAGTCTTCTGTGTAGCTGAGGTTGGATAAGTTGAAATGCCAGTTTTTCAATAAAATTGGGCCTTTCTAAATCAGTATTATTTTTAAAAGATTCATAAAGAATATAAGCATTTACTGTACTTATATCAAACATTCTGAAAAATATAGCCATAGGCCAACGGCGAGTTCGACGACTGCTTGTAAATTTAGCACATTTTTCATCCATTGAATCGACACCACCCTTTGTTGAATTATAATCCACTATTATGTGTGGTTTTTTAGTATCTGTATCCTCAGTGGCTGCGTGATGAGATGATGATACCAAAATTACGGCTTTATTTTTATGTGTTGTGTGTGAAAGTAAAGTAATGTGTTTTGTAAATCCGTAAATTGCCGTTCCCACTACTCGTCGTCTGGTGGGTAAGAAGATAGGAGGAATTTTTTTACGATTCTTACGGAGAGTTCCAATGCAAGTTAGACCTTTACTCCTCAATACCTCTACCAGTTCTATAGATGTAAACCAGTTGTCAAAGGTTATAGATCTGTTGGTCCCATAGAGAGGAGTAGTTAAGCGCATAACAGCCTGTGTCGGCTTACTGTATCTTTTCTGTTCCTCTGTAAGTAAAATACCGTCAGAATTTTTTCCCGTATATATAAGCATTGAATAAATAGCTAGTTCGAGCATCAGTACAACATATAATTTTTATACCATACTTTACGGGCTCACTCGGTATGTACATTTTGAAGCGACCTCGACCTCTGAATCCCACTAGCATCTTATCAATACAGGCTGAAGTTCCCACAGTGTAGCATGCCTGACTGTTGTTAATAAATTCACTAAAAATTTCTGAAATCGGTGCTGCTGGATCCAACACTATTGTCTCATTTCTGTCTTCGGGATTGTCAAATCGCAAACATGACAAAAGGAACGCACATCTCTCTTTTGACATAATGCATCTCATTATTTCTCTACCAGTTCTATTAGTAGCAAAAATAGTATCTAGGTTTTCATTGTTTGATTTAAATAAGCATGTAAATGCTAAAAATCCCAAAAATGCGTGAAGTTCTGTCATGTCAAGGTCTTTGAGAGAAGGTGAATTTTGATTTTTGTACTTGGCTCTTTCTTTGCCGATTTTCACATTCGTCCATCTAAGAATTATGTTGCAAATATTATCACTGAATAATAACTTCCAAACCTGCAAAGGGTCCCCATATTTGACCTTTATATCCCCATATCACGGAGATTGCGTAGCCACGAGATTTTACGTTTTCCTACGTTTCTTCTACCTTTGATTTTACCCTGCATTATATTCCTTAGTAGTTCGTACTTTTCACCTCTCATGATGTGCCCCAAGTATTCCAATTTCCTGATTTTATGGAATTTAAAACTTCGCATTGTTTTCCTAGTTGTTCGAGAACTTGTTCGTTCGTTTTGCCAATGCTTCTAGGTTTTTAATGTTGGATTTTTTAAGTGTCCAAGCTTCAACTCCATACAAAATTGTAGAGAAAATATAACATCGAAGCATTCTTATCCGGAGCGATATATTGATATCGCGATTACAAAAAAGTTTTCTCATTCTATTAAAAGTTGGCCGCGCCATTTCAATGCGGCATCTTATTTCTTTTGTCTGATCAGTATCTTCTGTGATCCATGCTCCAAGGTATTTGTACGAAGATATTTGTTCAATTTCTGTATTATCTAGTACTAGCTTAACTTTGATGTTTTGTGCTTTTGTAAATACCATGAACTTGGTTTTCTTCAAATTGATTTTTAGTCCATAATCGTTGCAATATATATTTAGTTGTTCATCAAGGTGTTGCAGTTCTTCTAGTGTTCCTGCCAGAAGGACGGTGTCGTCAACATATCTTATGTTATTAAGTGGCTCACCGTTTATTATAAGGCCCTCACTGATCTCGGCAAGCGCTAATTCTGAGATGGCTTAACTGTATAAATTGAATAACAAGGGTGATAAAATACACCCTTGGCGGACCCCACGGCGAATCTGGATATCCTTGGTCAGTTCGTTTTCAACTTTCACTTTTGCTGTTTGATTCCAATAGAGGTTACAGATGATTTTAATGTCTCTACTGTCTATGTTTTTATTTAATATAATTTCTTTAAGTCGATTATGCTGCACTTTGTCAAATGCCTTCTCAAAATCAATAAAACAGGCATATACTTCCTGATTAATATCTAAGCATCTCTGCGAAAAAACACTTACTGCAAACAGTACATCTCGTGTTCCCAGTCCTTTCCTAAATCCCATTTGTGTATTACTTATGCCTTCATCTAATTTCTTATGTATTCTATTGTAAATTACTTTTAAAAACAATTTCAAGACATGACTCATTAAGGCTATGGTGCGATGTTCATTGCACTCCTTTGCATTGGCTTTTTTGGGAAGCAGTATGAATGTTGATTAGAGCCATTTTTTAGGTATTATACCTGTTCTATATATGGTATTTAATAGATCCAAAGAAGATCAATAGATTCAGTATTCACAATTTTAAGTAATTCGATAGGAACTTCATCAGACTTGTAAGATTTACCACCTTTAGCTTGTTTCATTGCATATTCAATTTCTTCTCGTATAATGTCAGGCCCAGTATCATTCTTAAATTCTTTTGGTTCTTCTGTTCTCTCTTTGTCATCAAATAGTTGTGCTATATATTGTGTCCATCTCTGCATTTTTTGGTTTATATCTGTTATAAGTGCACCCCTTTCATCTCTTAGTTGCCTAGTTTAAAGTGTTTTTCTCATTCCTGTTAATTCTCTAATTATTTTATGCATGTTAAAAAAGTCATATTTTTTCTCAATTTCTTCTAATTCTTGGCACTGCTCATGTAACATTCTCTCCTTAGCTTCTTTTATTCTCTTTTTAATTAATCGATCAGTTTCATTATCTTTAATTGGATTTTTTGTTTTTAATGATTTTCTTTCATTCATTAATAGTAGTATTTCTTCAGTCATCCAATCTTTATGTTTTCTATTCTTTAGTTTTAAGTTTTCATTTGCTGTTTTAATTATTGCTACTTTTATATTTTTCCATTTCTGATCAATGTTGTAGCTACTTTTATTCAGTTCTTGGGCATTACGTAGATTTTCAGTAAGAGTTTTTACAGTTTGTTCCTTTGTTTGTGGTTCCCTTAATCTCTTAATATCAATTCTACGTTGTGTGGGTTTTTTAATCAGTTTTAATTTGGTTCGTAATGTGACTACTATGGGGTTATGGTCTGAACCGATGTCTGCTCCAGGGTAAGTTTTGGCAGACAGTATAGAATTACGAAATCTTTGTCTAATAAGGACAAGGTCAATTTGATTTCGGATTATTCTATTCGTTGTATCACCGGGAGATTTCCACGTATACAATCTTCTTTTTGGTAGCTTAAAAAGTGTATTAACTATTACAAATTCTTCCGTCTGGCAAAATTGTATCAAACGGTCACCACGTTCATTTCTATTTCCTAGACCATATTCCCCCACATATCCATCCACTCTTCCCTGGCCAACTTTGGCATTGAAGTCGCCCATTACTATTGTAGTGTGATGTTTCTTCATTGATTTTATGGTTTCTGTAATCAATCAATCATGGTTTCTGTAATTTTGAGTAAAATTTGGAAACATCTTTTGAATAAGTTCATCTTTTTTGATAATAATTTAGAACCGTAAATAGTCTCATTTTAAAGAAAAAATCGTTTTCTCTTTTTAAAGATCGACTTTTGTACTCTAAGGATTTTCTTAAAGTGCTACAGCTTCTTTTAGAGATATTTTTAGATGAGGCAATTATTTTATGCATATGTCAAATCGTTTTAAAATATCAACCTGTGTCTAAACAATCTGTATGTTTTATACATTTTCTTCGTTCGTACATCAAATCTTGTCCGGGCAACTGGTATTTGATGTATAAGAGATTATATATTTGATATATTTACTTCTAATTACCAGGTTCATTAATACATTTTTTTTTTCTTTCAGTAATGCCGCATTCCAAGTACGTTAATGGCTGCTGTGGTTAGCCATGCGATGCGACGGTTCCCAACGACACCACCGGATACGTCGTATTCGTCTTATGCATTTCGGGTAAGAGTATTTGTTGGAAACATAAAACATTTTAATTTGCTTAACATCATAAGGAAGCTTGCTTAGAATGCCAGTTTAAAATTTATTGGTTTTGTAAGGGAAGTTAACAGCGAAAGCTATGCGAGAAAAGAAGCTTATAAACATGCACGGCGTTTTCAACTATTTATCCATTAATTACTATTAAACTGGGAATAAGCCACAATTAAAGATATAAATACGTTTATTTGACGTTTCAATTTCCACTTCGGAAATCGTTCTCAAAATACAAATAGTAAATTAAACAAATTTTGTTTTTTTGTTACATAGTGAAAAATTCTTCTAATAATTTAATTTTATCTGACTCATTTATATTGACAATTCAGACATACATTATGCATTTTAAAGTAGACGACTTTAAAATGGTATTGCCAATATTGTTGAGTTGCGCTCCTGGGACGACTTTACTTATAAGATAGTTCATTCGATTACATGAAATCAACTTTAACTTGAGAATATCCGTCAGAAAAAATTCATAGCATGTAATTCGTCTTTAAAAAGACAAACACATGACATTATGCCAGTAAAATTCTCCTGTTAGTGATTCCATAGTAAATTATGAGGGAAAAAACTAGGAAATAAAAAACCTCATAATACTATCCAGACATTGTAAGTATTTGTTCGTGAATTTAGTTTACCTTCAACAAACATCAAAATTCTGATTTTATATGTTACGTTATTTAAAAAGCATAAATGATGTATCCTCTATATGTTACTAACTTACTAATACTGGTATTTTCTTATTAATAACTTTCTCTTTTAATATTGGTAACCAGATCCTACTACATTCTGCCGAGGAATTTGCGACACAATTGGCCTCATTTAGCATAATTAGAGCCGCTTCTTTGATTTTTCTTTTTTTACCATCCGTTTCTTTTAGGACTACATTTGAATTATTCCATTGAACCCTATATTCATTATCCCATGCGTGTTTACATATTTGAGATCTATCAAATTCTCTATTTTTAATATAAGATTGATGTTCACTCATTCTAACATTTAATGGCCTTGATGATTCACCTAAATAAAACTGATCGCATTCACAAGGTATTTTATAAATGCAATTCTTTGTCCTTTCTTGTTCATTGTTAGGTTTGGTTTTGGACAAAATAGATCTCAACGTGTTTGTTGTTTTGAATGTTGTTGAAATGTTGAATTTATTTCCTATCCTTTTAAGTTTTTCTGATAGTCCTTTTATGTACGGTATTGTTATTTTCCTCATATTATTTCTTGTGTATGCTGTAGGATCTCGGTCTATGTTGTTCTGTTCTATTCGATCGATTGTTGAAAATTCTTTATTTATAAACGATAAGGGATAATCATTTTTTAATAAAACAGATGTTAACAAATGTTTCTCCTCCAAGAACGAATTTTTGTTAGAACAAGTAATTTTATCGTATAAGGATTTAATTATTCCCTTATTAAGTATTACTTAAATGTTAGAATAAGTGAACATCAATCTTATATTAAAAATAGAGAATTTGATAGATCTCAAATCTGTAAACACGCATGGGATAATGAACATAAAGTTCAATGGAATAATTCAAATGTAGTCCTAAAAGAAACAGATGGTAAAAAAAGAAAAATCAAAGAAGCGGCTCTAATTATGCTAAATGAGGCCAATTGTGTCGCAAATTCCTCGGCAGAATGTAGTAGGATCTGGTTACCAATATTGAAAGAGGAACTTATTAATAGGAAAATACCAGTATTAGTAAGTCAGTAACATATAGAGGATACATCATTTATGTTTTTTTAAATAACGTAACATATAAAATCAGAATTTTGATGTTTGTTGAAGGTAAACTAAATTCACGAACAAATACTTACAATGTCGGGATAGTATTATGAGGTTTTTTTTCCTGGTTTTTCCCTCATAATTTACTATGAAATCACTAACAGGAGAATTTTACTGTCATCATGTCATGTGTTTGTCTTTTTAAAGACGAATTACATGCAATGATTTTTTCTGACGGATATTCTAAGTTAAAGTTGATTTCATGTAATCGAATGAACTATCTTATAAGTAAAGTCGTCCCAGGAGCGCAACTCAACAATATTGGCAATACCATTTTAAAGTCGTCTACTTTAAAATGCATAATGTATGTCTGAATTGTCAATATAAATGAGTCAGATAAAATTAAATTATTAGAAGAATTTTTCACTATGTAACAAAAAACAAAATTTGTTTAATTTACTGTTTGTATTTTGAGAACGATTTCCGAAGTGGAAATTGAAACGTCAAATAAACGTATTTATATCTTTAATTGTGGCTTATTCCCAGTTTAATAGTAATTAATTTACAATGCCACAAGAAAATAGCTTCAGAGCAATATTTATCCATTCTTTATAAAATTTTGTTGTGAGTTCTGACTTAGTCTGACATGTACCACCAAATTAATCAGATTTCCTTCTCAGGAGATATTGACAATTTTGTTTCCAATGTATATATTGGGAAAAGCTGTAATAACCTCAACACAGAAAGCAACAACGTAAAAGAATGAAAAATTGTCACTCAAATAGTTTAAAAATGATTTATAAAATTATTGCCAAAAAAGAACCAAAAAATCAACACAAATTTCAAAAACTTAGAGTCAAAACTTGATCCTAAGTAAAATAAAGTAAGAAATACTCATGAAGAAATTGAGCCTTGACTAATAGATAATATTTTAACTATGGAAAAAGCATACTTACGTTTGTAAAAAAATTAACCAAATTCTAGAAAACAACACGTACACAATAATTCTAACCATGTTTTATCAAAATAGTTTGGTAATAGAATATCAGAATATCTTATATATTCATTTCTCACTAATAGATTTTTAAAAAAATATCCTACCAACAAGCCAAAATCCAGCTGCAAGATCTAATAATGTTCCTTTTATCAGCTATTATTTAGATGAACAGTTGGTTGCTACCTCTCAAGGCGTAAGGTTCCCTTTTTCGAGCTGAGCTAATTGTATATTCTGGGCAGATTCGAACGTAGTTATGAGGTTCGAATCGTTTTACAATGCCCCTTTATCCGCTTTTTGTCGATCGACGATGATAAATATAATAAAAAGTTTATGTTGTTGAGAAAAATGTGGGTTTTATTGACAGCTACTACAAATTACACTATATGATAATGTTAAGGTAACTATCTATAATAGATTGCGCTCACATGAGCTCAAATCCCCAATTTATAATCTCACAAATAATGTCTACCTCAGCACAGAGGTTATTGCTTCTATCATACTAACAAACTTTGAACTATGAGCCCACAATATAATTTAGTCTAGGCCGTAATTGCAACACTTACAAAGTTCAATTGAAAAATAGATTATACGATAATTTATTAACATGTGAATGTACTTTAATTATTAAAATATTACTCGATATAGTTTAACAATGGCAATTATACACGGTGAAATCGTGAATAATAAGAAGAAGAATAATGTGAGATTACAAATTAAGGGATTAATTTGTGATTGAACAGTTCCCTTAAAAAATGTTATCCTTTATCATTGACCTAGTGTCTTAATAAACATAATGTTAAGTTACTCAAATTATGCAATTTAAGAGTCTTGTGGTGTCATTATGTGGCTGGTTCCCACTTCTTTATAGACCTTTTTCACTGATGATGATCTGAGAGGAACGAAAACATTCTGAAAGTTTATAAATTTATTCTGAATGATTTTTAAAAATTTCAATAAAAATGTTATACTATTTTACAAAAAAAAATTTTCTACTTCATTTGAAGAATAAAGTTTCTTTAAACTAAAATATACAGCTAACCACTGGGAATTTTTATTTTAAATTGCTTTTATTTTTCTAAATCTATCTAAATCTTAACGACTTTTAGATTTCAATGCTGACGCAGTCAGCAAAAGAAGGCAAATCGTTTGATCTTAACATCAATACCAGTAAAACGCAATGGCATACAAGACGTTAATAAGTTTAAATACCTTGGCTCATGAATAACCCAATACATAGTCCACGAGGTTCAAATCCGACCTTGAGTTGAGTGCTTACTTAAGATCTGCGTTCCTTAAAATGAAACACCTTTGGACTAATACACCTCTTTCACTGGATTCTAGTTATCAATTCGTTAAAATATACAAATTCCCTTTATATGGGACAGAGGCATAGACATGGATATGGCGGCCTTCGAGATATGGGTATTTAGAATAGTTCTGAAAACATAAGATAGACCAGGTCAGTAACGACATATCATGTCACTAACGAAACAGTATTGCGTAAAAGCAGCCATGACAGAGAATTTCTTAAAGATGTTTTTAGACATATATACCGAGGCAGACGACAAGAGCTCTTGAGGTTGTTGATAGAGGGGAATGTTAAAAAAAGCAGAGATCCAAGTAGGAAAAAATGTTCATGGTTGAAAAACATCAGAAAGTGGATTATTAAAGAAATCAGTAACTCGATACTCAATTTCTATTAAGTCACCGAGGCTAGAGAAACATCCGTTTGATCTGAAAGAATTGTTGTCGAACTTCAAAAATAAAGAGGGCACTCGAAAAAAATTCGAAAACTCGAAAAAGACTCTTATGGTAGCTGAAAAAACACAAGATTATGGATTTAGCTCAATCAGGATTCAGAATATTTTGTAGCATCGTTGGTAATCTAGTAATGCTAAACATAAAAATCACCGCCGCTTTCCAGAAAAAAATATGATTTAATAGCAACATCATTAGACATAAAAAGCGCTTTCAATAGCCTAGTAAAGACCAAGATATTGGATAGGTTAAGAAAGTACCACATTAAGAACAGCTTTCACAACCTATGTTCAAGACAACTGCGTACCTTAAGGTATGTTAAACTCCACTTTCTTCACATTACCCTTTAACGAAATTTGCAAGAATATGATTAAATGTGAAAAATGTACTACGAATGCAGGTAATCTGATCATATACATAATTGATTGACTTTGTAATACAAAGACAATGGCATTTTCAGCAGCATATTTTCAGCTCAAATTTTTGGCAGGCTTAATAAAAACGCTTCATTTTATTCCATCAGGATTATGATCCAAATATAACAAAAATACAAATACTAAACTCTACGCCTTTGTCTCTAAAACTTCTAACTTTGTTAATAGAATGCAATAGGGAATAAGAACCAGTAATCCCCAAGGAAATTAGTCATTATTCTCTAAGGGAATAATATATGGCTTTATACTGCAAAAACTAAATACAGCAGTAGTATACAGCAACAAATAAATATGTGTCTCCTTGAATATCCTTGATCTAATTATTTTTTTTTTAATTCAATGTGGAAATTAAAGTCAAAGATATTTCTAAATTAATTTTAACGCAATTTAATATTGAATTATATATTATAAAGCATGTTGATAATTGAGTTATAGATCACAATCACTTCTAACTACCTAAAGTTTTAAAGCAAAACGGCTCTAACCAACATTTCCATATATTACAGCATATATCGCTCTAGCAGATTGATTGTGTATCATAGAAAATGACAAAAATTTGAAAACACGAATGAGCTAACCCACCAAGTTGTCGTTTACACAAAAATTGTTCAGTACATAAATACGTAAAAGAATGCAAGAGTGGACTAACCATCCTTTTTATGGCATAAACTCATAAAAATTAAGATGTGTAAACGTTTTATTATAAAAAATTTTCAGATTTTTAATTGTAAGTAGCTAGACTTTACCAAAAAATCACAAACTGAAGTTGCACCTCACAATAAAAGACGACAGAGTAATTCAGCAAATAATCAGGTGATGACAAATCTACTGAAGTAAAAGAATACATTAGTAGATTTCCCACATAGGAATTACATTATACGAGGCATAAAAGTGAACATGGGAGTTATTTTGCACCAGAGTTCCATTTGAGTTTAGGAATGCTTTATAACTTTTAAAAAGGAGAACATTTTTACTCACTAGATATCAAAAAGAGCACACCTAGAAAAATACTTCAGTTAGATCATGTTTATCCCGATGGAAGTCCAGTAACCAAAGAAAATTTTTTTTAGAATTCCTTTTCATTTATACCTCAAATACGTTATGGATTTTACACAAGAAGCAGAACAATAAGATCCGCTATACATCCAGAAGAAGAGTTCACGAGGAAGATTAAGTATATTTGTTACTTTGTGTTTTATTAAAGCTTATTTTTGAGATTGATATTGTTTAATTGTATTGTACTTTAGGTCTATTCCACATTCCTATTATAATTTTTAAGGGTACTTTGGTACAAAAGGCACAAAACAGCTAAAATTTTTATTTTTTGTTTAGATTCACTACACGATCTTCGAGTTTTTTTACTAGCTGATGATTTGTAAACATTTGAAAATCTTTTGATAACATATTTATAATAATTAAAATTTCAACAAACCCTATACGTTCTTGGTTCATGCAAATCCATTGTATATTATTTGGGGTAAAACCACTTTTGCTCTTATAGCCTCGTTTGTAGTCTCTAATTTTATTCCAGGTCACTGAATTCATATATTTTTTAATAAATTGTTTTTTCATACTATATTAGTGTTACATATACAGGGTGTCCCATAATTAATTGGACATTAGCTAATGGGTGATAGCTGACATCAAAATAAAGCGGTTGAGCTCAAATTGTTTAGGAAAAATGTTGCTAGTTTTCGTTCTACAGGGAGATTCATTAATATTTTTTTATATTATTTTTATGGATATATTGAAAACTATTCAACCGATTTAAGTGAAATTTGGTATCTTGCTATTATTTAGTATGCTTAATAAGAAAATGATATGTTTTACCATTGACACTAGGTGGCGCCCCTTACTGTAACATTGGTTCATTAATGGGGCCATAATTTTGTTGTCCGCCCTGTATAAACATTCTAGGAAAAAAACATGAAATAACATTCAATTCTACACAAAAAAGGTATTTTTGTTTCAAATCAAAAAAGTAAACCGTTTTCAAAATAAACGTATTTTGTTAATGATGCATGTCTCTATTTAATTTTTTGAAAAACAAGTATGCTTTGAACTTAATGACAACGTCAAGACGAAACTACGAATTTATTTATTAATAGTTGTCAAAGTGCAGTGCGAGTCATTATTTGTCAAAGTGCTATTAAGTTTTTTATAAACCACTTAAGATAAAGGAAAAATGCCACGTCATAGTGAATTTTCTAATCTTCTAGAAATGCGCGATATGATCTGTTTGTATGCCCAGGAAAATTTTTGTTCTCGTAAAGCAGCTGAACTCTATTTCGAACTTTATCCCAATAGAAGGCAATCAAACCATAAAAATATTAGATCATTGTTCGACAGATTCGGTGAAACAGGGTCATTTCATCCCAAAAACATGAATGCTGGAAGACCGAGAGTAATTGATGCGGATATGGAGGATGAAATTATTGTGCGTGTTACAGAAGATCTAGAAACCAGTACAAGGCTTGTTTCTGTGGCCACTGGTATAAGCAAATCTACGGTGTCAGGAATAATACGGACAGAAAATCTGTATCCATATCGTTTTACTCCAGTACAAAATCTTTTTCCACAGGATTTTCCAGCAAGGCTCCGTTTTAGTCAGTTTATGATGGGGCGGCATTAAGACGATCCAATGTTTTATAATAAAATGTTATTTACCGATAAAGCCACATTTACTAGAGGGGGTGTATTTAACTGGCGTAATAGCCATACCTACGCGACAGAAAATCCTCATGCATTTCAAGAACATCCTTTTTAACACGAGTTTTCCATAAATATCTGGTGTGGCATATTTGGGGATTATATTGTAGGACAATTCGAATTACCAACTACGCACGCTTTGACGAAGTAACGTATCTAAATTTTTTGAGAAAAGATTTACCAATTTTTTTAGAAGACATACCTCTAAATTTGTGACGGAACTCTTGGTACATGCATGATGGTGCACCACCACATTATAGCGTAGAAGTTAGAAATTATCTAGATGAAATTTATCATCAAAGGTGTATTGATAGATAGTGTATACCCTTGGCCAGCACGCAGTAACAAACTAAATCCCCTAGACTTTCAGTTGTGGGGCTACCTAAAGTCACTTGTTTATAAAAAAAAAATAAATAACCGCCAAGAGTTATGGCAAAATATTGTAGAGGGAGTTAACGTAATTAGGGTCCAAAGAAACTCATTATTTAAAATAAGACAAAACTTACACAAAAGATTTAGATTATGTAGTTTATCTAATAGTGCACATTTTGAACACTTATTGTAATTTTTTTTCGTTTCGTTGTGAATTATTCACTTTGTTAATTGTTTTATATTCACTTCATTGTTTATTTTAATTTTTGATTTTTTTTAAATTTGTTACTGAGTCAAAGGTTTAATAAAAATAATTGTTTCAATCATATGCATTTTGTTTGTTAAAATTATCTACTACTAATACATTTAATATTCACATTTATTTAAGACCTTTTGAATAATGTTGGAATTTACATAAGTTTTTGTAAACTTTTTTTATTTTATGCACGTCTCTAAAAAATACGTTTATTTCGAAAACGGTGTACTTTTTTGATTTGAAACAAACATACCTTTTTTGTGTAGAATTAAATGTTATTTCATGTTTTTTCCTAGAATGTTTATACAGGGTGGGAAAAAAAATATGGCCCCATTAATGAACCAATGTTATAGTAGGTGGCGCCACCTATTGTCATCGGTAAAACTAATATCATTGCCATATTAAGCATACCATAATAGCAAGATACCAAATTTTACTTAAAACGGTTAAATAGATTTCAATATATACCTAAAAATAATATAAAAAATATTATTGAATCACCCTGTAGAACGAAAACTAGCAACATTTTGCCTAAGTAATTTGAGTTCAAACGCTTTATTTTGATGTCAGCTATCACCCATTAGCTAATGTCCAATTAATTATGGGACACCCTGTATAACTTTTTAATGAATACTTTTTAAATCGTCAGCAGTATTTTCTTATTAGATATCATATTTAGTACATATTTTTCTCTTCTAGGGGGAGAGCAGTAGAGTAGACGGAGAGAGCGCCCTCTCACGTTCAATGCGTTACGCAGATCCGTGGTTATATGGTAGCATACGTGCACCGGGAGGATTTTTTCTAACACCTGCCTTTGTGCTATGTGCATGCCCGGACTACATTAACGGTACAAAGAAGTCAAGCAAGAAATCCCCATCACAATGCAAGAAATGCAAAGGAGCGAGACTTCCATTGTCATCCGTAAGTTTTTTTAATTCTGTAAAAGTAAAATCTAGAATAGGTTTAATAATTTATAATTTATAAATGTCGAATATGTGTCACATCTCTTTATATAGTATCTAATTAAAGTTTAAAGAAAACGTACAAGCATAACGAACAAAATAATAATTTATTATAATTTTTATACTCCTGTAATAACAAAAAACTAATGCACAAAATCGATCTTTATAAAGGCAATATAGTTAAGAATTAAGTTAAGTAAAAGCTATGTGCTCTTCAATATAGTTCGAAGTAGTCCAGGTCTAGTTTGCATTAATTTTTTTTCTAAATCTCTACTGATATTCATTTCCGACTATACATCCGTTATTAAAACAACTTCCAATTCGTATTTGTGCCTAGTCAGTCTATAAGCTAGTGTTTTGTAGTAAACAACACCTCAGAACGTTATTTCATCTTTTCATGAAATGCGGGGATAAGAGTCATATTTACGACAGCAGCAGGAAGTCTGGGCGCCCCACCTAGTACACACACGTTTAAAGTCTTTTTTAGGAGATGGATATGATCAACTTGAGCACTTTTAAATTACATAGTTCTAAACCTCCGAAGTTACACGGCACATCCGGCAAAGGTTCATGGCCGCAGACATTGAAAAGCGGTATCCTAATTTGGATTTCATTTCCAAGAACAACTATACTTTTATTCCCTATTAGATCTCGCCACATGCATCCCATGTTGACAGGACGTATTTGCTCTGCGGGCGGGGTTATAAGCCTAGGAAATATATCAAACACAGACTAATATATAATAAATCAGTGCAAATTCCGACCTATGCTGATGATACCAATATTGTTGGTAAAGCGGAAAATGCTGTAAGAAAGGCGTATTTAGCATTAAAAGTATCAGCTACAAAAATATGTTCAATAATAAACACCAACAAAACGAAGTATATGAAATAAGCACGCAACCAAAAATCTCACGACCACTTGTTATATAGAACGAACGTATACCGCAGAGACAAACTGCATTATTTGCACGGCCAACAGATGCAATTTTGGGCTCAATCTTCTAACTCGCACTCTAGAAAACAATAATACGCCCAGTCCTAACATATGGTTCAGAGACCTGGACTCTACCAAAAAATAATGAAAATACGTTACGATGTTTTGGAAGAAAAGTTCTTCTTCTTAGGCTCTCCGTTCCGAACGTTGGCGATCATTCTGGCTATGATGACTTTGTTGGATGCTATGCGAAATAGCTGGGTGGAGGTTTTTTTATACCTTGCTCTCAGGTTAACAAGCCAGGATATTTTTTCTTCGTCCTGCGGCCCTTTTTCCTTTAATTTTACCTTGAAAAAAGTACATTGAAGTAGCTTGTATCTGCCTTGATTTCTCATTATATGTCCCAAGTACTGCAGCTTACGGACCTTCACAATGTTGACCAAATCCGCGGTTGTGTTCATTCTCCGCAGTACTTCTTTATTGGTGACTTTGTCTGTCAATGGTATCTTCAGAATCCTTCTTCAGAAGAAATAAAAAGAAAAGTACTAAGGCAAATCTATTGAGTAGTGAATGACAGTGGAGTGTGGAGATGACGATACAACTTTGAACTAGAATATACCAGGAACCTGATATCGTAAAACATATTAAGATAGGACGTCTGAGGTGTATAGTTCATGTAATGCGGATGGAACAAAATAACCCAGCTAGACAAACGCTCCTTAATAGACCCATTGGTCAGAGAAGAAGAGGAAAACCCAGAACAAGGTTCCTTGATTACATCGATGAAGACATGAGAACTATGGGAACACATGTTTTGCGGGGAAAGGCGATGAATAGGGACGACTGGAGAAAAATTTTTAAGAATGTTAGGACTCACGCAGGGTTGTAAACCCAAAATGATAATGACTATAACTCAAAAACTTCTTCTTCTTCTAGTTCCATGACCATTATCGATCGTTGGATATGATCTTAGCTACCATATTCGCTATCGTGATTTTATTGACAGCAGCTCTAAATAACGGTGTAGTTAATTTTTCATATCATTGCCTTAGATTTTTCAGAAATGAAATTCTTCTTCTACCAGGACCACGATTACCTTAGATTTTTCCCTGAATGATCAGATGTAAAACATTATATTTTTCAGGGTGTCTCATAATGTGACCGAATTATTCCCGGTTATTATTATGACCAGTTGTGTTATTTGGTTCAGCCTAATATTTGGTTACTACATTAGAAAAAAATTGTCGGCTTTTAATTAAAAATGAACTTTTATCATAGAAAAATGAGTAATATTATAGAAATTTATTGTGCGCTTCAAAACATACCGAGTATACGACTCTTAAGGCGTATTTTGAAGAAAACTGAGCAGTGTATTTTGAAGAAAAAATACTTTTTATTTATATACTATTACTGTCACTTCTTCTTCTCGTGCCACTCCTAGCGGAGATTGGAAATCATCATGGCCACTGCAACTTTATTAGCAGCGCGCCTAAAAAGTTCAATCGAACTACACCCGAACCATTCACGTAAATTACGAAGCCACGATATTTTTCTTCTTACCACACTTCTTTTGCCCCTAATTTTGCCCTGCATGATGTTTCTTAAAAGTTCGTACTTTTCACCTCTCACAATGTGCCCCAAGTATTCCATCTTTCTAGTTTTTATCTCATTTAGAATTTCGCATCTTTTGTCTAAAGTTTGGAGTACTTGCGTGTTAGTGACGCGGTCCATCCATGATATTCTGAGAATGCGCCTATAGCACCACATCTCGAAAGCTTCGATGTTTTTATGGTCAACTGTTTTAGTGTCCAAGCCTCAACTCTATATAACAGGGTAGAAAAGACATAACACCGCAGAATTCGTATTCATAACTTTATATTGATATCACGATTGCAAAAGAGTTTGCGCATTCTATTAAAGATCTTACTATCTATCTTACTATCTATTACTGTCACTGCCAAATCTTAAAATGTGTCTGATAACTTATTCTGTTTAACTTTAAAAAATTGTTCCACATGCTAGCAAAGAACTAAAAGCAAGAATTGTACCAAAATTAGAAGATGGTTGGTCACTATCTACAGTAGTGGACCATTTTAACGTTAGCAGAACAACAGTTTTTAATATAAATAAAAAATGGAGAAAACAAGAAACTCTCGAAAGAAAGCAAGGATCTGGAATAGCAAAAATATCTACCACTCATGAAGATCGTACGCTTTTGAAAATGCGAAAACTGCAAAAATATGTCACAGTTTCCAGTCAGAAAGGCAACTTGGCGAAGGATTAAAGCATCGCGTCTTAAGTACCAAACTGCAGCAAAAAAACAAGCCCTCACACCACAACAGAAGCAATCAAGACTTATATTTGCTTTAAACCCTTAGCTAGAAAATCAAGATTTTTGGGATAGTATGCCTGCCTGCCTGCAAATAAACTACAATGGTATGGAGTATTGATGACAGGTTTATTGAGCAGACTTATCTAAGTATTCTAAAAAACATTGTTTCCTAGTAGAGAACAGCTGTATCCAGAAAATAATTTTATCCTCTAACAAGGTAATTGTCCTGTTCACACTGAAAATATAATTAACTAGTGGCTCCACAAAACAACATTAAAACCTTACCATGGCTTAGCTACAGTCCAGATTTAAATCCAATCAAGAATGTATAGGTTATAATAAACATGTTTGGGATGAGCTCTCTGACGAAGACAATTGCATAGTTCCCTTCACGCAGATGGACCGAAGACTACAAGCTGTTATCAATGCTGATGGAGATATTACAAAATATTAATTTTATTTTCACATACCTAATTTTAGTATAGTTTTGGTCTTCCAGACCCTCGCTTTCTTTCGAGAGTTTCTTGTTCCCTCCATCTTTTATTAATAGAAAAACTGTGGTTCTTCTTCTTCTTCATGTACCATGTCCTTTCAGAACGTTGGTTACCATCATAGCTATTTTAATTTTATTCACTGCCACCCTAAATAGCATGCTTGTATCTACACCATACCAGTCTCGCAAGTTCTTCAACCATGAGGTTCTTCTTCGTCCTGGACTGCGTTTGCCTGCTATTTTTCCTTGCATGATATTTTGTAGCAATCTATATTTGGGACCTCTTATTACATGTCCGAAATATTCCAGCTTTCTCTGCTTGATGCTTTTTATGATCTCAGTAGTCTTGCTGAGACGTTCTAGTATTGTGGAGTTACGAATCTTCTCCACCCAGGAAACTTTTAAAATTCTTCTATAGCACCACATTTCGAAAGCCTCAAGGCGATTTAGATCGATTTTATTCACAGTCCAGGACTCGACAGCATAAAGTAAGACCGAGAACACGTAGCAGCGAAGTAGGCGGATCCTTAATGCCAATTTTAGGTCTCTGTTACATAACACCTTGGACATCCTTCTAAAAGCAGCTCTAGCCTGCTCTATTCTGGATCTAATTTCGCCGTGATTTTCTGCATTACAATTTAATTGCTGTCCAAGGTAGACGATTTTATCAACTTGCTCAAGTTTGATATTATTTACATATATAGACGGTTTTATATTCTGTTGTTTACTTATTACGAGTATTTTGGTTTTCCTTATGTTAAGATCCAGACCTGCCTCCCTACAACTCTCAACGACACTATCAAGTAGTGTTTGCAGATCTTCTTGACTAGAAGCTAGGAGTACTGTATCGTCCGCATATCGCAAATTATTGATGACTTCGCCGTTCACAAGTATTCCTTCTTGTTTTTCAGAAAGTGCTTTTCTGAAAATTCTTTCGGAGTAAACGTTAAAAAGCATGGGTGACAAGAGGCATCCCTGCCGTACTCCTCTTTTAATATTGAGAGCTTGTGATTCCACACCATCTACTAAAACTGATGTTGTTTGATTCCAATATAAATTTGCAATTATTCGAACATCTCTGCCGTCCAAGCCAATGTCTTTTAGAGCTTCGATCAATATAAAGTGCTTAACACGATCAAATGCCTTTTGAAAGTCAATAAAACAACAGTATATGTCTACAGATATATCACGACATCTTTGAGCAAGTACGTTCATTCCAAACAGTGCCTCTCTCGTTCCAAATCCGTTACGGAAACCAAACTGAGTGTCATTCAGGTATTCCTCACATTTATTGTAGATACGACCATGTATTACCTTCAGAAAAATGTTTAATAAGTGGTTTAACAAACTGATGGTTCTATAATCAGCACAGGTTTTTGCTGTTGTCTTCTTAGGTAGAGCTATAAACAGTGAGTTAGACCAACCATTAGGTAGTTGTCCGCTGGTATAAATGGTATTGAAAAACGAAGTTATAGCCTCTAAAACATTGCTATCCTTTATAAGCTTATATATTTCAGTTGGAATTTCATCAGGACCAGTCGCTCTGCCATCTTTTGATGATTGTATGACTTTGTAACCTCACAGCGTGTTATTAGGGGTCCGTCGCAGTTAGTAATATCGGGAGGTGAACTACTCCTATCGTCTTCGAATAGGTTCGTGACGTAATTTTCCCATTCTTTAAGTTTGTCCTCTACTTCGAATATTACTTTACCATTTTCATCCTGTAGCAATGCATTTTGTTTCTTATTGAAGATACCAGCCGCTTCTTTTACTTTTTTATACATGTTAAACGTGTCGTATCTTTTTTCGAGTTCTTCAATGTCATGACACTGTTTGGCTAGATGTTGACTCTTTGCTTCTCGTATTTTACGTCGAATTTCTTTTTGTATGCTATTGTAAAGTGTTTCGTTGGTTTTTGCTAGTCGCCGTTGTTCCATCAAATCCAGTATATCATCTGTCATCCAAGCCTGCTTTTTTGGCTTTGACCTGCCTTGTAAATTTCTCACACAGATTTCTTTTACTGTCGTTACGATTTTATTTAAGCCCTCATCGACGTTTTCACCAATATTTTCCCAAATTAAATTTTCGTTCAGTTGTCTTTGAACTGATTCCTTAACTTTCTCGTCTTGTGGTTGGGCTGTATCAATCTTTTTGCGAGACTTCTTTTTGATCACCTTTTTTAATTTTAATTGGGTTACAGCTACTATGGCATTGTGATCGGACAGTCAAAGTCGATTTGATTCCTAATAATTTTGTCCTCTGATTCTGCATTTGACTTCCAGGTGTAGAGTCTTCTCGGTGGTAGTTTAAAATGGGTATTCGATATAATGAAATCGTGTTCTTGACAGAACTGGACAAGTCGATCTCCACGTTCGTTTCTGTTTCCCAAGCCATATTCTCCCACAATGTTCAAACAGCGTCCTTTGCCGACTTTAGCGTTAAAATCTCCGAGGACTATGGTATTTTCTGCTGCTTTGACAAGATCTAGAGCATCAGTAAGATCTTTGTAGAATGCTTCTAATTTTTCTTCATCACTAGATGATGTTGGGGCATAGACCTGAATTACGTTGGTAATGAACGGCTTTGAACTAAATTTTACTAGCATTACTCTGTCAGATATGGGAATATAAGTTAAAACTGATTGAGCTAAGTGTTTTGCTACTACGATTGCAACTCCATTATAGTGATTGGCATCTGTATTTCCGGCATGGTACACTTGATATCCATCTACGTCACATACTCCTGATCCCGGCTGTGGTTCTGCTTATGTTAAAATGTTTTGCTGTCTCTGATAGTGCCAATCTTTGAATTTGGTTACAATTAGCTTTAATATACTGTTGGGTTAAGTCGTTTGTTTTATTCCTTAATAATAGGAAAAATAATAACAACCTTATTTTATGTAAAAACTATCATTTATATACTCTTTATAAAATGCAGGAATTCAAAATAAATTTAGACGTTAATAACTATTACAATTTATGAATTAACATATGTAATCAATTGTTTGTTGTTTGCTTGTTTATTTGTTATTTGTCTGTCATAATAAATATAATATAATGTCAGACCAATCACATCCACTGGTCAAAATGATCAAATCTTACTAAAAGTCGTATCAGTTTTTTTTAGGAACCAGCTGTACTTCAAAATTTAAATCTATGATAACATTGTCACTTTTTTTGTAATTTAATGTATTGTTTTAGTGTTAAATCCAATTAGTGGGTTAACCAATAAAAGTTTATTAAAAATGGTGTTAAATGATATATAAATTTGGATATGAAAGACTGGACTTATAATTTAATCAACTTAGTGTTGAAAATCTATTTACCTTTTAATAAATTTTATTTTAATATACTGTATTTATAGGTGGAAGCCTCGAAATATGGAACCGTCAGATATTATCCCTCGGAAACTGTCCCTACATCATCCACTCCGGTTCGAGGTGGTACCGTAAGAGTAACTTCTTCTAAACGGCCATCAATCCTGCCATCGCCCGGTGATCCGTACGATTTAGTTAGAAAATCCAGGTTGTCAGTATCGGAAAATACGAATCCTTTCAGAGCACGATCAGTTTCTCCCAGCAAAACCACCGATGGGGATAACAAAAAGCGGCATGGAAAATCAAAAGGTAACTTTCTTTTTAAACTTATTTCCCAAAACGAAACTGCATGCAAAACTAAAAAGAAAAAAAAAACAAAATGGAGATAAGTTGACAGTCAAAATAAGACACTTGGCATACAACCATGTTGTTTTACTTTAACAAAAAAAAATATGACCCTTATGATTTTACTATAAGGATCATTAAAAATAATTAAAATTAAAGAATAGTATATAATTTGTAATAAACTTTTTTAATCCTGAACCAAAAATAAGGAAGGTATTTATCATATTTAATGTACATTATTAGACATAATATGAACAATAAAGTGTTTGTTCTTAATAGTTTGCTTAATAGTCTGCTTTGTATGAATCCAAACTGATTTTCTATATTTGGGTTTCTCCACGTATCCATATAAAAATTTATTTCTTCTTCTTGTTGTGGTAATGTTACAAATCCAATTATAACTGACTATGAACTACGAATATTCTATGAATATTTATTAAACTGAAACACATATTTTGCTGTTTTTCATGATGTGACAGAGGTATTCAATTTGGGCTGCTTTTATTGTGATTTACAACTTTTCCTTTTTGCATTCTTAATAAAACGTCCTCGTTAGTAACGTGATCGGTATAGAACATCTTTAAGATTCTACGATAAAGCCACATTTCAAAAGCCTCAATTTTCTTGAGGTAGTAGGAACGCTACCACATATAGCGTCTGTGAGAGTCCACGACTCATATTCGTACAGCAGTATACGAAAGATATAACATCGTAGTAACCTGATTTTTATGGGTACTGATAAATATTGGCATTTGAATAGCTTAGACATTTTTTGAAATGCAGATCTTGCTTTCTATATTCTAGATTTAATTTCTAGGGAATGGTCCCCATTTTCATTGACGTTCGTACCTACTTACTTACTTTCCGTGTCTGGAATACCAACAGCTTTAAATTTTGTGTTTCCAATGGTTGGCTACATAGATGGCCCTGTCATTGGCTAAAAAAAGTTCTTCTGTGCATGTCTCTCTCATCTCTGTGCATGATAGTTGATGGTGACTATTCGGAACTGCGCCACAGTAGCAGGTATCGTCCTTCTGGTATCCCCATTTCTTAAGGTTACTAGCACAACGTAAAAAGCCAGTTCTTAGTCTGTTTAGCGCTACAGTAAATTGTGTTAAGCGGCCATTTCCTCTGAGGGAGCCAAAAGTGTTGTAGCTGACGCTTGCCATAGGTTTATTCGGTGCGTCTTTGGCTCTTTGGAAAGAGATCGTAATTTTTTTTAGAAATCTTTTCCGAGATCGTAATCTACTTAGCTGAACTTAGGTAGGTAAAGGTAGGTGTATGTTTTTACTCTTTCTATTGGTTGATTATTCACACTGATTCTTTCAATTTTCTGTTCCGTTTTAGAGATCATCATACATTTTGTTTTCTTAATGTTCAGTGAAAGTCCATATCTCTGGCTCAATTCTGTAATTTTATTCATTAACTTCTGGAGGACTTAAACTGTCAGCGAATACCGTCATGTAATCTGCGTATCTGATGTTATTGGTACATTTTCCGTTAATTCTATTTCCGGCTTTAACATCTTCTACTGCTTCTTGAAAGATTTACTTAGAGTATATGTTAAACAGCAAAAGTGATGTATACATCCCTGTCGGAGTCCACGTTTGATTTTAATATCGTCGGATTCTCCTGCTTCTGTACGGATAGACGCTGTTTGATTTCAGTAAAGATTGCTAACAATTGTTAGATCAAAGGTGTTTATTACAATATTTGTTAATATCTCCGTCAGCTTGTTGTATTTTACCGTATCAAATGCTTTACGGTAATCAATAAAGCATGTATAAATATAGCAATTCACATCTCTACATCGTTGAAATAGCACTTGTATGCTAAAGAGATCCTCTGTCGTAACCACTATGTTTCGAAAACCAAACTGCGTACGGCTGATTTTGTCTTCGCATAGTCTTTATGTCGTTTGATGTTTGATTTTCAAAAATAACTTTAAACTGTGGCTCATTAAGCTGATGGTCCGGAAATCATTGCAGTATACTGATTTTGTTTTCTTTGGTAGATCAATAAACATTGACATCAAACATGATCTGATCACGTATAAATTACTTATTCTCATTCTTTAATTTTTTTCTTATAGTTTTTTAGTTATTTAAGTTGCAGTGTCTATAAAATACTAACTATTTATATTTTAAATGTTTTTTTACTATATAATCGCTCTATTAAATGTATGTTTTAGCTGAAAAACGAATCGAGTCATATAATCTGACCATCGGCCGCAGGTCCATCTTGGAATGTGACATAAATCCTTACGAACTTGTTTCATCCGAAGCCTTTGGTCCTAAAGAAAAAGAATCACCAGCGGTAACTTTGGTTAATGGTCAGAGAATACGAATTCGGCCATCTGTTTCTGATAGTGAATACGAGGATGTACAACTTAGGCTATCCACCCCTACAACGAAACCTTCTGCAAAATCTTCGAAGCTGTCCTTAAAGAACATTGTTAAATCCAGCTCACCTATTTTAAGGGATAAGAAAATATTAAATGGAGTAAGTAGATGTATTATATATAAATATACAACAAATGTAATTTTGTAACCGCAATTGAAGTAAATGTTGGAAAAACTGATAATTTGGATTTTATCTCTTATAATTTCGTATTATTTGATGGATTAATTATTGTCAAGTGCCTTTCTATTTTTGTGGTTTCTCTATCAATTGCTTTCACAATATTAAGTCTCTTGTAAAATCAACTCAGATGTTATATTCAAATATCGATTTTTAAAATGTCACAACTATTGTTAGTTGTTGTTTACGTAGAAATGATTATTTTGTTAATAAGTACTAATCTGTTACTAATCTGTTAAAGAAGGGGCAACTGCCGTAGAAAATGATGCCTCAAAATACAAGCTTTAAATTATGCTACAATACAGAACAATACAGGAGTAACTCAATACCATGCTTAGTTACTCAGTGTTGAAGGAAATGAATAAATATTTATTGTCTTAAACAAAAAGAGAAATCATACGATTTATACCTGGCGAAATCGAATTTTACTCGGTTGGGGAATCTAAGATTGCATTCCAAATGCCGTTCATCATGGTCAAAATTCGTAGTGAATTCAATTTCTGGTACTCCAAACGGAGTAAAAAAATAAAACATAATGACGGTACTAGATTTTGATTCGATACAGAGCAGTGACAAGCCGCTTATATGTATTTTGACCTCTTTAGGTCTCCTCAAAACGGTATAGCCACTACTCCGTGGCTATACCGTTCTGAGGACCCTAAAGAGGTCGAAATACATATAAGCGGCTTGTCGCTGCTCTGTATCGAATCAAGATCTAGTACCGTCATTATGATTTATTGCCTTGTTTCTACATAATCCTGATTTTTCATTTCCACGTGATCCACATTTACAAATGATGAGAGCAAGGTGTGGCTGGTGGAACGATTTGGATAAGCATGAGAAAAAATATTGGTATTGAGGTAAGGTGTGAATGGGAAAGAAAGATAGCTAGCATACTATGATTGATAGTATGATAGAAAAAAAAATAAGGAGGATATACAGTGTCATGCTAAGAATAGGGCGCTCGAATCAAATTGTTGTGGACACTACAAAGAACTGAGGGATGAAGAACTAAACATGCATTATCCACTGAAAATGGAAAATTTTCAAATTAAGATGTTGAGTTCTACATTTGACTGATCGACCTGGTAGAAATGATGTAGGAAGGAATGCTGTACCTTACCGTTAAAAATTGTTATTATTGTTTAGTCTAGTGCAAAGTCTTACTCAGTAGGATATACACATTTAGTTTATTCTTCTTCTTCTTAACGTGCCCCCTCCCTAAGGATATTGGCGATCATCATGACCCATTTGACTCTATCTGCAGCCGTTCTGAAAAGTTCTATATAAAGTATCTATTTTCCCACTCCATTGTCTCAGATTCTTCAACCACCCGGTCCGCTTTTGCCTTTCACCTTCCCTTGTATGACCAGCTCATTTTTCTTTTCTTTCTTTTCTTTATAGTGTTAAGTCTTGTGTTTCAAAACTATTTTACGATTGTTAAGTATTTCTTTATCTTTGTTCATTCTTCGTAGCGTTTCCGCATTTGTTATTGTCCAAGATATTTTCCACATTCTTCGATTACAACACATTTCAAAGTTAATGAGTCTTTTTTCTGTTGCCTCTGTAATTGTCCAGGCCTCAACTCCATACAACAGGAAAGAGAACACGTAGCATCTCAATACTTTAGTTCTAATTTGAATGTTCAGTTTTTCATTGCATAATCATTAGTTTACTACTTTAACATTTATATGAATATTTATTTTATTTATTATTTATTAGTTTTAATGACCTTGACAGATAGAATTAGCCTAAGTGTAATTTTTTGTATATTGGAGAATAATATTTGTTTCCTAACCCTCCTGATGGCTTGTGCCAAGGAGAACAAATGTCACTAAAAGAGAATATTGTATTGTATTTTTTTAATGAGAAATCCAAAGGCATTATTATTTGATTGATTCTTTTCTACATCCGTTGATATCTTTTGCAAAATGTCTTTAGGAATTGTATTTCTATTATTATATGTGTGCTAATATCAATAGGTTCATTAGAAACCTAATTGTTCTAAAAGGATATGTATGTATATTTTCAATAATATTTGTATTTATTTTTTAGGGAGACACACCGAAACCAAGATCGAAAAGCGATTCAATTACATTAATAAATAAAGATAGGGAACTCCAACAAAAGTTTAAATCCATTTTAAAGAAATCGTCGGAGCGAAGTCCATCACCAATCGAACGAAGTGGGTCATTGTTCTATATCCCTCTACCCAACTCAAAGAAAAAGGTGCAATTTCTGGTCAATAATGACTCCAGTTACGATGAAAATAGCGAAGAAATGATTGAAAATAGTTATGAAAGTGATGACGATAATGTTTTCGAAGAAGTGAAACCAGTGGTGGAGATAAAGTTAGCCAAACCCGTAGAGCCGACAGAAACTTTAAGTAAGTACTTTTGTTAATTGTTGGAGAAAAAAAAGTAAATGTTTCACTTCGCAACGATTTTCTTCCCTAATTATACTATATTTTATATTTCGATTAGATATTAGATCAAAGAACAGACAAAGTATATAGTTTTTTCGCTTTGTACCTCTTTCTAATTTTCTAAAAATTTAAACAATGTATCAATTACATTGTTTTTAAGATTTCAAAAGACATGTTAGTTAATATATTATCCAGTACTTGCAAAATCGTCTTCATTACTGGTCTGAGACTTACGCAGGCATGTCTTATTATATCGGTACGACATTAGTATGCCTTTACTTATTAGTAACCTCTTCAACTACCTTTCAGATAACTAGTCCAAAAGATTTACAGCTAGTCTCTTGGGAGTCTTTGTGATTCATTTTTTTATTGTACTTTGTGCTCATTATCAGAGCCATATTTGTACATTTGTGATCTGTCGAATTTTCTCTTTTTGAAGTATATTACATGTTCGGTTATCCTGGCACTTAATGGTCATGCGGTTTCTCCTATATATAAACTGTTACATTCACAAGGTATTTTATAGATGCAGTTCTTTTATCTTTCTTACGTTTTGAGTAAATTTCTTAGGTTTGGTTTTGGACAGAATAGATCTCAGTGTATTGATTGTTTTGAATGTTATTGTAATTTACTTGTAATGTTCTATTAAAGAAAAAATGAACAATGTAACGGAAAAACATCTAAAAGTAACACCTAGAAATAACAAACAGGAATGGATGACAGAAGAGATTTTACAATCAATGAACAAACTAAGAGAATCTAAAAGAAAAAATGACAAGGACGGAGAATACAAAAGACTAGAATAATTCGAAAAAAAAAAAATAATCGAAGCAAAAGAGAAATGGCTGGAAACAAAATGCATTGAAATAGAAGAACTACAACAAAGGCACGATTTTTTTAATTTACATAAAAAGGTAAAAGAGTTTACATCGACTACCAAGAGAACGACTTTTCACACCATGCTGAACACGGATGGCAAACTGCTAGAATCAACGGAAGATAAACTGAAAGAATGGGAAAATTATATTAAAATTCTTTTTCACGACATACGAGAAGAACCAAGATTGGAAAATAACAACGAAGGGCCAGCAATTCTGAAATATGAAATCATAAATGCAATTAATCATCTCAAAACAAATAAAAGCCCAGGTCCAGACGGAATATACCCAGAAACGTTAAAATTAATCAGCAAAGAAAATATCGAAATATTTGTCCTTTTATTCAATCACATTTATTATACAGGTAAAATACCCCAAGATTGGCTGGAGTCAATATTCATCCCACTACCAAAAAAGCCAAACCCACAACACTGCAATGAGTTCCGTCTAATAAGCTCTATGAGTTATGCAGTAAAAGTCCTACTAAAAATCGTACATAATCGTATCTATAGAAAGTGCGAAACAATCATCGGATACGATCAGTTTGGATTCAGAGCCGGCATGAAAACGAGAGAAGCCCTGTTCAGTTTACTAGTTCTCGCCCAAAAATGCTACGACTAACAGAAAGATATATTTATATGCTTTATAGACTTCGAAAAAGCATTTGATAGAGTAAGACACGACCTACTACTAGAACGTTTGCAAGAAGTCGGTTTAGATGGAAAAGACATCAAATTCTTAAAAAACTGAAAAAATTCAGAGCCGGCATGAAAACGAGAGAAGCCCTGTTCAGTTTACTAGTTCTCGCCCAAAAATGCTACGACTAACAGAAAGATATATTTATATGCTTTATAGACTTCGAAAAAGCATTTGATAGAGTAAGACACGACCTACTACTAGAACGTTTGCAAGAAGTCGGTTTAGATGGAAAAGACATCAAATTCTTAAAAAACTTATGCTGGAACCAAAACGCCAGAATTAGGATCGATGGTTCCACATCCGCAGAAGTAGAAATTAGGAGGGGAGTTAGACAAGGATGTTTTCTGTCGCCTCTGCTGTTTAATCTTTACTCTGAGCTTCTATTTTAAGAGGCATTGGAGGATTCCAAGGATGGAGTCAATGTGAATGACGTAAATATCAACAGTATCAGATACGCCGATGATACAATGTTAATTGCGGATTCCGACTTAGGTCTACAACGACTCATCGACAAGACCAACTCGACCTGTGAGCAATTTGGTATGAAAATAAACATTAAAAAAACCAAAGTGATGTCAATCCGAAAAAACCAAAACGTACCTCAACCTTGCACAATAAATGAGCAGATTTTAGAACAGGTCCATAGATTTAAGTACCTGGGATAATGGATCGATAGCAGCCTAAATCCTAATGTAGAAATAAGATCGAGAATAGAACAGGCCAGAAAATATTTCGAAAAAATAAAAAAACTGCTTTGTGATTCTCGAATAAAATTCGAAATTTGACTACGTTTATTAAAATGATACGTCTGGTCGACTCTTCTATATGCAGTTAAAACGTGGACCCTTAAAACATCAACCGTAAATAAATTGGAAGCCTTTGAAATGTGGATCTATCGGAGAATACTCAAAATTTCATGGACATCGCATACCTCAAACGAAGAAGTGCTGCATAGAATAGGCAAGGAAAGAGAACTTTTTAACACAGCAAAAGTTAGAAAAACATCATACCTAGGCCATATACTGAGAAATAATAAGTACCAATATACCCAACTTATAGTGAAAGGAAAAATCGAGGAAAAGAGAGGCCTACGAAGGAAAAGACTATCGTGGCTCAGAAACATCCGACAATGGAATGGGCTAAATTTTGAACAGCTAATAAGAACAGCTGAAGATAGAGAAGAGTTTAAAATTGTAGTAGCCAACCTCCATTGAGGAGAGGGCACTTTAAGAACAAGAAGTAATGTACTTACCTATCCTATCCTTTTTAATTTTGTCGATAAGCTCTTTTTACATGAAGGTTACAGGAAAAGAAGGAGGTATGTCAAATATAACTTATTCTGAAATAAAGCGATATTAATACTTCAAAAAGGCACAAAGATTATAGTCTTGTCATCAAATTTGATGATATCAAATAGAGTAGATTAAAAAGGGGGTATAATTTTTGCAATATTAAACTATTAATAAGTTCCTCTCTTTGTATTTCAAATTTACTACAAACATAAAAAATGTGATCTAGGTCGCAAACCACATTGCAAGTTTCACAAAGTTCGGTGTTGACTTCACCGATTTTATATAAGTGTTGAGGGTAGCTTGCATGTCCGAATTTCAGCCTACATATGGTCACAATATCATTTATTGTAAAATCATAATCTTGGTGCCAAAAATCTGTCGAAATACTTGGTTATTGTAATAGAGTGTATCGTGTGAGGTTATTAGAGCAATAGTTTTTCCAATGCAATTCCCATTTTGCCTTAAAATTACTCTTAGATATCATTAATCTTGAGCACCTAAATTGTTGTTGATATGCTCTCCTGTTGTAACGCTTTGTGTAACGTTGTGGTTTGAGTAGTAATTTAAATACTTGCCACTGAGGATTGGTTTTCTGCAAACTTTAGTTGCACATCCTGTATCTTTTTTTGTAATTTTTCTTGTTTCTTTTGTTTCAAAAAATATTAAAGGTGTTTTCTTTAATTTTAATATTTGTTTTAGATGTTTCCACACCGAGAAAACCAGTGAGTTTGTACCGAAGTCTAAGCGATCGAATGAAAAAAGTAGAGTCGAAAAACCTTTTCCATGATACCATGGCTATAAGACATCTGAAACAACGAGTAGGTTTGAAAATAGATTTCTCAGACCTCGAAAGATTAGATGGAATAAATCAAAAAATTAAAAAACTTTGCTTAAAATCTAATACTGCTCGCAAGGAAAATATAAATACAGTCTCCGATTCAGACAATTTATTATTTGAGAGAAATGAAGATTTGTCATTAACTAACCTTAACAATCTGATACAACAAGAGCCAATAGAAATAAATTCAACAACTGATACGGAAACTGAGAATGCTGAAACTGACAACACATCTGCAAGTTCTTTAACTTCATTTTCATCAGATTTGGTCGATAATACAAATAAAATTATGGAAGCAACATTAGAAACAGAGGATACTTTAGAAAAACTCGATGAGAAAATTGCTTTAGCTAAATTAGATATGTGTATTAATGAAGCAAAAGTTGAAATAATTGTACCAAAAGATGATGTACCACCAATAGTTCCACCTAGAAAAAGAAGTAGCAATAAACAACCTCCTATAAGCAATTCAATTAAAATTGAAGAAGTTAATACTGAGATCACAAATAAAACAGTTGTTAAAATAACTACCCCACCAGCTATCCACAAAATTCAAATAAAAAATGATTTTTCGGACGCATTAAATAATACCTCATACAATATTTTGGAAAATGCCCAAAGAAAAACATCAATAATGATAAACGGTGATGACTGTTATTCAACGGTTAATGTAAATGATAACATTCCCTTATATCAGTCGTCAGTGGTGGTCAAAGATTCAGTAGGAATAATTCCTATATTCGAGAAACCTGAAAAACAATGTAGTACGATTTATATCACAGGATCTTTTGTTCCATGTGAAAAAGAACCCGAAAAAGTAGAAGAAAAAGCAGATACCAAAGAAACTGAAATTGAAAAACCTGCTGAAAAAGACTCAGATGTGCTAAGAGAGCTCCTGAAGGACCCCGTTGAGGCAGTAAGGCGTAACTTGGTCCCACATGTCTGTGGTAAATCAGACGTGCCTAGGCGACAGCGCGACAAGAAGTTCCTAAATGTTAAAATACCCAATTTAACATCTAATTTGTTACCAGAAACAACGTACGAAGATGTATTTATAAGGCCAAAGCCCTATGAATCGATATGCGATGACTTGTCATCTGAACACAGTTCCTCTACTCAATACGAGTTAATTGATCCAGGATCAGATTGCTATACTGATCATAGCAATCGTAGCTCGGTTACTGAGGAAGAGTTAGCTAATCGTACGAAATTTTACGAACTACTGGCAGATTCGGGAATCATCGAGGTAACTGAGAATGACGATCATATCTACGAATCTATTAAAGTTAACAATGATCCAATCTACGAAGATATTGAGATACCGCCACCTCTACCCAGCGTTCCTCCTCCAGCAACCATAATGGATGATATTAATTTAGACAAAGAATTTACTACTAGGTAAGTAATACATAAGTCATATTTTTTTTAATGGCAGTCGGGCTAAGTGCCCATCTAGCCAGCAACAAATATGTAATAACGTTCACTTAATAACCTAATCTAACTAAACTAAATACACTACAATTCTGGAAATTAAAAGAAGAATTACAATGGGAGAGGAACTAGGATTACTTTTCGCACCTAGGGTCATTCAAGGTGACTCACAGACAGAAAGTGTAGACCACGTGTAGACCACGGAAAGTATAGGTAAAAAGGTAAAATATTTGGTGATTTAACAGAGGTAACGAGCTTAACACCTACATACCTACACTAAAGTTTTACGTTACACATTTTAATAAACGTAAGAATAATTTTATATACCTTGTACATATTTAATGATATCAAATAGAGTAGATTGAAAGGGGGGTATAATTTTTGCAATATTAAACTATTAATAAGTTCCTCTTTTTGTATTTCAAATTTACTACAAGCATAAAAAATGTGATCTAAGTCGCAAACCACATTGCAAGTTTCACAAAGTTCGGTGTTGACTACACCGATTTTATATAAGTGTTGAGGGTAGCTTGCATGTCAGAATTTCAGCCTACATATAGTCACAATATCATTTATTGTAAAATCATAATCTTGGTGCCAAAAATCTGTCGGAATACTTGGATGTAATAGAGTGTATCGTGTGAGGTTATTAGAGCAATAGTTTTTCCAATGCAATTCCCATTTTGCCTTAAAATTACTCTTAGATATCATTAAATATTCTTGAGCACCTAAATTGTTGTTGATATGCTCTCCTGTTGTAACGCTTTCTTTGGCTGCAACTTCATTGCCACGAAGTCCTATATGAGCTTTTACCCAAGTGAATTTTAATTCGTATTGACTTTTTTTAATTTATGAATTCTCACTTTTAATTCTCTAATAAAAGGATTTGTATCAGTAGCCATCACATTAATTGGGTTAGCAATGCATTTAAGAACAGATAATGAGTCACTCAAAAAATTTATTTTTTTTAACTTGTTTTTTTTTCGACATAATCGCAGGCTTTAATAATACCAATCGCTTCTGCAGAAAAAATGGAAGTATTATTATTCAGTTTAAATTTTTCTTGGACGTTTGTTGATGGTATATAGAATGCACATCCGGTACCATTATTTTGTTTTGATGCGTCGGTATATATTTCCAGAAAATCTGATAGATTTGATATGCAGGTGCTTAATATGTTTTTACTTATCAACAAATTTTCATTGTTTATAGGAATATTAATTTCTAGTGGTTCCAACATGTCAAAGAATTCAGATTTTTCGACTGAAATAGTTCTTTTTAAATCACTATTATAACTACTTGTATTTCTAAAAGCCATACATAATGGAGGAGAAGGTTTTTTTGACCAGTACGTGTTAGTTAAATCGTGGTTATTTAATAAGGCTATTTTATCAGAGTACGGTTTTTACAAAAAGACTTAATAATAAATTTTTCTGCTAGCCATTCCCTCCGTTAAAATAATGGTGATTCTAGAGATTCAATCCGAAGTGGTTCCACAGGCGTTGAACACATTGCACCCAAACAGAGTCTTAGGGGAATATTTTGAATTATTTCCAGTCGTTTTAGAATGTAAGGACTGGCTGACCCATATAACATACATCCGTAATCCAAGATCGACCTAATAAAGACTTTGTAAAAAGTTAAACACAATTGTGGATCTGCTCCCCACCATGTTCTCCTTATGAATTTAAAAAATTTATGCCTTTTAAACATTTTGATTCTATACTTTGTATAAAGGGTTTCCAGTTAAGCTTTTTGTCAAGAATAATTCCAAGATAAGTTACCTTATTTGATACTGGATATAAGGTATGAGTCATATTAAAGCATAATTTTTTACTTCAAAAGAATAATTTATAGGTTTATACACCAAACAGAGTCAATTTGAAGTAATTAATTAGCTAAGAGCTGAGAGGAGAGCATTGTTTTGCCAATTGTCAAAAACTAAAAAAAATTCAGCTTGAAATGTCGGGGAAGACTTACCAGAAGCAAATATTTCTATAAAAGATCCCCTTATTATCTTATACAACGTGTTTTCTTCTGTCATTAACAGCAAAGACCCCTTCTACTTATTATTGGAATTTTACTTTTTGTATTCAATTATATTACTAATCCCTTCTAACCTTTTGGCCTCGTATAACCTTTATTTTTATAGGAAAGTCGGTAAATTTTGTATACCTACGAGAACATGAAATTTTAAAAACATTACAATCCTTGGGTAATTCTGCAAAGACCTGCTCTGCATTTTACGTTGTTTATTTAGATATTAAATATTATTTTAATTAATAGTAATATTAGTTTATCATAAACATAAATGAACGCAAAGATATCAATTCTAGAATAGGTTGCATACTTACGTTTTTTGGACACACTGTAAACTATTTTTTTTTAATAGGTAAAGAAATAATAAATAAGACTTACTCACAATCAATTTAATTTAACTATTCAGACGACCCTTTCACTTTCTACAATATGCAAAGCATCTTCAGGTCTCGATACAAAATTAAATAAATGCTGAAATAATAAAAAACCCATATTAGGGTGTTGTCTAATAAAGATACAACTTACGCGGAATCGCGGCGAATCGTAAGGCACGGCGATTCATGCAGGTGTTCAGACTAGCTGGGACGGAATCCGCAACGGTCGCGGCAGATCAGCGTTGTTTTCATGTAACGCTGCATGCACGGTTTTTTTCCACTTCAGTTATAGTTTCGCGTGAATTACAATGGCTGTCAGAGAAAAACTAATTGAAATTGTGAAACAATATCCTATACTTTATAATTTAAGGGACGAAGATTATAAAAATATAAGAAAAAAGTTTCATTGGAGTTTCAAATAAATTGGAGTTTCAACAAGAACAAGAAGCAGCTGGCTTTTGCACTTCCAATTCAAATACTAGATGTTTTTCTCGGAGCAATACACAGTTAACACCAATACTTTCCTCTATATTTGTCGATACTAACAATACTGAATGTGTCCCGTACCAAGTTGTTGCTTCTGGAGCTACCTGTTTTTTTTTTTGAGTTTCGGCAAGTGCCAATAGTAAAAGAGCTTCTTCTTCATTAGACGAAGTCATTATGTATTTGTAAGCTACGAATAAAGGAATAAAAATATAAGTTGTTCACATTTGTGTGGCGAACAGTCGCGTCGGGTTTCGCGCCAATGTGGCGAAGCCTTGTCCGCTACCGCTCCGTCTGCGAATGTTCCGCAACGGAAAATTCGCGTCTCAAAAGTTTCGCGTCGGTGTGGGGAATCCTTAACTTAGTATCGAGACCTGAAGATGCTTTGCATATTATAGAAAGCGAAACCGGTCGTCTGAATAGTTAAATTAAATTGATTGTGAGTAAGTCTTATTTATTATTTCTTTACCTATTTGAAATGGACTCACACAAGCAACACATTCATATTTTTTTTAATCAATGAGTCTTCTAATTTATTTGAAAAAATAAAGTTTATAGTTTATTAAAGCTTTAGAAATATTTGTGGACATGTCAAGATTGTTCTCACTAATAAAAACGTTTTCTAAATATCTAAGACTTACACAAGCTTCAGATAGGCGTGATATATTCGACACTGGAAAAACTTAAGGTTCTTCTGCCTTAGTTTTAGAGAGTGTCATTTCTTTCTTGTATTTATACAATTTGTACAATACAGTAATTGATAATATTCTTGTTCTTCTTCAGATGCAAATCCACTAATGGATGTTAGCGATCACATTTTCCATTAATTCTCTATTTCTTGCAATATGTATCAGAGATTTTATGTCGTTAATCCCTGTCCATTGCCTTATGTTTCGGAGCTAGGATATTTTCTTGCATCCCATTCCTCTCGTGACTTCAATTTTATCCTCGATTATAAGTTGGAGGAACCGGTATTTTTTATTTCGCATGATGTGACCTAGATACGCCGTTTTCCTTTTCTTGATGGTTTCGAAAAGTTGGCGTTCTTGGTTTATTCTTTTAAGGACATCTATATTTGTGATTTTCGCTGTCTATTTCGAAAGCTTCTAATCTGTTTATATCCCTCGTTTTGAGTGTCCAGCCCTCTACGCCATATAGCAGCACTGACCACACGTAGCACTTAGTAAACCTTAGTCTCAGTTGAAGATCGAACTCTGAACAAGTCAGTACCTTCTTGAATTTTACGAAAGCTTGTCGAGCTTGCTCAATGCGACATTTTACTTTCCCGTCCGATGCCCAGTCTTCAAAAAGCCACGATCCCAGGTATTTAAATTTACTCACTCTTTCAATTGACTTAGTATTAAGTGTTATGGTGGAGTTTTCAAGTGCATCCAAGTTTCTGGAGATGATCATAAATTTTTTTTTTTGGGTATTAATCTCTAATCCCATTCGCTTACTGTATTCTCCGATTATAGTGACAAGTTGTTGAAGATCGAGTATGTTGTCACAAATTAAGACACCGTCATCAGCATATCGTATGTTGTTGATCAATACTCCATTCACTTTGATTCCCATCTTTGCATCCTTCAAAGACTCTTGAAATATGGCTTCCGAATAAATGTTAATAAAAGAGGGAAAGCACACATCCCTGTCGAACGCTGCTTCTTATATGTATGGGTATGGATATAGAATTGTCTATTTTTAATTATGCCGTTTGATGCCAGTACAAGTTTTCAATGCATCTTATGTCTTTTTGGTCTATATCAACTTGATCAGGATCTGCATTAACTTGTGGTGTTGGACACGATCAAACGCTTTTGGGTAATCCAAAAAGCATAGGAACACATGATAATATTCAATCGACGCAAATTGTTCTATATCCATTAATGCGTCTTTGATGGCGATAAATAGTTGTTCAAGTGAAATGTTATCCTATTCTTCAAAACCATTCGCATCTATATTAAACATAAATTCGGCCTTAACAAAGCATTTTTTTTATTGTCATCGGCGACAAATTACGCTAAGCCACTGCACCCATACCAAGGTGTTGGCTATGGTAAAGTTCATCTCTATTTCTTGAAGATAATTTCTCAGTAATAAGATTTCTTATTACTGTCTAGACAAGTTAAAAGCCTCTATGTAGTGTATCTTTTGAAGGTCATTTTAAAATTCTGGATCATTTATTCGTCCAAGAGCTGGCGTTTTGAGGTACTATTGGATGGGTGGCAGAAGTTTAAACATTATCCAGTGCAATCTTGGGGAAATGCAGGGAAAGATCCAAGAAAAAAGAGGCATAGGGAGACGTAGAATATCATTGCTGCTCAAAGTGAGAGAATGTAGCAGATATACATTAAACGAAGTTTTCAGAGCAGCCGTCTCTAAAGTTCGATTATTGTGTGAGATGTAGCAAAGCTTTTCTTTTTATACAAAGCACGTGTTGGTCGTGTGTATTAAGACCTTGTCCTTAATACACACGACCACCACGTGCTTTGTATTCAACAGGTATACTAGCCACTCCTGGATACCTCAACTTCATGGTTTGTTCCAGTTTCACTTTTAATTTTCTTTTTATGATTTCTAGTTGTCGAGATCTATATCAGTGGACTCACCACATATTATCTTAAAAGTAATATCGTGTCTACAACTGAATCTTTAGAATCAATCATTTAATGTCTTAAAGTCATTTAGTGCTAGGTATTGCGCATCTTTAAGGACTTTAACTTAAATTACTGCCCCAGATATTGGTAAATTCATACGTCAAGCCGTACAAAACTAATTGAATATAGATTTATCAACAGCAAGTACCTCGGTTTTTTTTAAGACATTTTCTTTTTTGGTCAGCGATACCTCCTTCTTGAAGCAAATTTCTGATATCTTCTTTATTTTGCAGCAATATGGTCACTTAAGTCTCACCAACTAGCGGAAATTGTTTTTTTTTTCTGTCATGCTTATTAGTTCTAAAAGCATACTATCATGGTATAATAGCTGCAGCAGAAAACTTAATAAGCATTAGTGACAATACTCCCTATCTAAAATTCTGACTTAAAATGGAGTGTAGTAGTCATTATATTGTTGTGTATTGTCCATCTCCAAATATTTATATCTCTGGTGTGATTGTGATTTTTTTTAACTCATGCGTAGATCTTCTTGGAGATCTTTCTCATGATCTTCGGAATTCTACCTTAGCTTTTTCCTAGAATAATAAGTCTTTTCATATGTTCTGTGACTGCTCTCATAAAATGTCTCAAGTATTTTAATTGTTGGAGATAGAATTTTTTAGATAGCCTTAACTGACTATTGGATCATTTAAAATTAAAATGTCTATCCTGTGGTCGGTCCATGGAATTAGTAATATTCTTTTTTAAGAGAATACTTTAGTGGCGTCTATCCTTCTTTTTTCAGCTTGTCGTAGTTTCCAAGATTCACATCCTTATGTCAGTATTGGAAATATTAAGCAGTTGATCAACCTTAATTTTAGAGTTCGTGAAATTTAAGAGTCTTTCCATATTTTGCCATATTTTCTACGGCGACTTTTGATAGACCTACGTTTTATTTCTTCCTGTAGGGACATTGGGTTTGTGATCCATCATCCTAGATTATGGATATAAGCTTACAACCTCAAACCGGTCAATCGTGGTTATGTGTGGATGATTGTTATGTAGTCTATCCGCTATCATAATATTTGTCTTTGTTATGTTTAACTGCAGACCAAATATTTGACTTTCGTTTTCAACCAGTCATATTGGTTGAATTAACTCTCTAAGCTATTTGTAAGAAGGCTGTGTTATCTGCCAAACGTAGGTTTTTCACTCTTCAGCCATTTATTGCGATGCTCTTTTTCCAACTTTCAAATGCTCTTCTTATAATATGCTCCCCATATATATTAAATAATTGTGGACCGTCTAAGACACCTTGTTTTGGATTGAATTTGTTTGAAATTGTGTCAAGCATTCTAACTGTTCAAGTAATGCGTTCGTATAGTTCAGTTAAGAGAAATTAAGTGTTGTGGTATGCCTACTTCTTTTAACATATGTCATAACTATTGCCATTTGACCCTGTCGAACACTACATTCTTTATGTCGTCATTAAGTGCAGTTTGGACAGCATTTGCGTTAAAATCACCAAAACACCGCGCATTAAGCTCTGTATTTTGGATGTTGTTTTTAATTTTCTGCTGTGAATTTGACGACAGATGTTTGGTGAAACCAAAATGGCCACATCTGTTGAGTTCTGGGTCTCACCGCCAGAGAAGTTAACATAATTGCCATTATGTGATGTAAAATGGCCCTTTTCTAAATATTGCGTTTCAGCTAGTCCAGAGAGTTCAATGTTTTACCTTCTTAATTATCTTTTAATAATTGATAGTTTACCTGCGATTATTTTTAGTTCTTGTACATTCTATGCACATTCCCCTCCAACCTATTGATCATGAAAATTCTCCAAAATAAAACTGTACATGCTTTACCTTCAATAAATAGCTCCAACTATAATTTGAACCACACTATTTTCGTGCAATTAGAACAGTAAAAGGGACAGATACAATCCTTTTCGCAGACATTATCGCCAAGCACCATTACAGGCTTGTTTGTGACGACAGAAAGTGTGCAAACGAAGGCGGTGCTACTTTAGCTAACGTCTACATGAATTTAAGTAACTATTCGATTTCTGCGATTTGCTCTAGTTATATTTCTCATCATCTCACGGTTTATTTGAAATTTATACATCTGTCTCTGATTATCTAATACCGAAGAATCACTACAACGTCTTTTTGCTATCTTTGCGTAATTGTGTCTTTATATATGGTACATTTTTCGATAATTCGGTGATTTCATACCGATCGTTAATATGGACAGATCTGTTCAACATCTTTTGGATAAGTTTCAATCTTTGTATCTTCTACTTTGTTTTATTTTGCCCCTTTCATTTGTATTATACAATAAATAGCATACTTCTTTCTCGTAACAAACTACTCGTGAATGCAAACCCACTTATGAACAGCGTTGCATTTTTGCAACACTCTTAGCACATTGACCACTATATTTTCTCCTGACTAATTAATAAATTAATTTGAAATTAATTTTGTATGTAGATACAGTTTCCATCGTTAAAATGAAATATAATTTTAAATCAACTAAAGGTAATTATTATAAAACAATTATATATTATTTCTCTGTGTTATAGGTCCATATTTGAGGGAGCCTCCAAATATGACATTCTTAGCTACCTTGTAGATGCAAAGGAAAGAGGTTTAGTTCAAGAAGATGGCTATACTTACTTTCCAACAAATGGTACCACTGAAGACGATATTCCTATCTCACAGATGAGTGCGGTTAGTGATTCAAGTGAGGATAACTCGCTTATATTGGCTGGAACTCTCATAGATGAAAAGTTAACGACCCAAAAGGGAGCAGAGGTTGAAAGAAATGATTCCGGTGTTGGTTCGGAGACCAGCAAGAGTTCACTTAGTAAATATAGATCCAAACAAGAGATATTTGCGTTGTGCGAAGACTGTGAGGCTTCACTAGAAGGAGCTAACGGGAATGTTGCTCTGTTGTGTAGAAAATGTGTGAAAAAACGGTCAGAAAGGAAAGAAATAATTACTGAAATAGTCGAAACAGAAGAAAAATACAGTAAAGATTTGCAAATTATATTAGAAGAATTTTATCAGCCAATGTTAGTAGCAGGCCTATTAACACCGGATCAGTTGTCTGCTATATTTTTAAATGTGGAAGAACTTTTAGAAAACAGCCAAGCACTAGCCGAACGGTTGCGAGATGGTGTTGAAATCGCTTTGGAACAAGGTGATGAGGACCTTCTAACGGTTAATATGGGTAAACTCTTTCTGGAAGCAATGCCGATGTTACACGCCTTCGAAACTTACTGTGTTCGACAAGGATCAGCTAGTTTACTGTTAGCAAGCCTTGAAAAAGAAAAAGAGCTCCTAAGAATATTTCTAAGAGTATCTCAGATGGAAAATACAATGTTAAGAAGAATGAACCTTAACTCATTTCTTATGGTACCTGTTCAAAGGGTTACAAAGTATCCATTGTTACTGGCTAGATTATACAAAGTAACACCATCTCATTATGACAACAAGGAGGAACTAAAAGAAGCCCAGCATAAGATTGAGCTTCATTTAAACCATATGAATTCACAAACAAAAGACGTACCAAGTAAGTTGTGGAGAAGAATTGGCAGTAGTTCCGGCAGAAGGTCAAGTTCGGAAATGGATTTAGTTAATATCAAGTTAAGAAAAATAGCTGTGGATGTGTTGGAATGGAATCATGAAGAAGCCAAGTTTGCCTTAGAAGGAAAACTTTTGTTTACGCAACCCACGGATAATAATTGGAGAAAGGGAAGGACTATAAAATTAACTCCTATCAATGCAATGCTGGTCATAAATGGAAAGGTGAGAATAATTTATTTAAATTTATATAAAAAAAATTAAAATACTCTTTTTGCCATATCACTGTTATTAAATCGAGCCAGTTCAAGGTCTACTTAATTATTTTTAAGTATTTTATCAAGATTAAATAATGTTAGTATTTGCTGGGTTAAATGAACTATTGCTTTCAATCAGTTTGTTGTTTCTTTACTGTATTTGGTTCCCAGATGGACTGTTCCTAAATTTATTTTAGTTTTTTGGCTGTTTTATGCTCTATTTTGTTCTTGAAAAGATACTCTAGTTATTGTTCTCGCTAATTATGCAATTAATTTACATCTTACTGTTTTAGCCTTCGCCAAATAAAAATAGTGACAGATCAGAAGAGAATGGTGGTCTATTTTTCTCCAAAACCGGCGTAAGAGAAGCAGCTTTACTACTAGTTCGTGATAAGAATGGCCGATATTCATTGCTAAGAGATCCACTTTACCTAGATCGATGTGTTATAGCAGCAGATCCCGCTTGGCAAAGTTACTTCGAAGTGCAGGAACTTTTAGGGAAGGATACGTTCATATTTAAGGTAAGTTTTGTACTTATAGTAAAAACAAGAACTAAAATAAGAGAAGTAGGAAAAATATGTGTAAAGTAGGCCTAGTTCAACTTATTCTGAGCAGTGCAAATACCGAATGCTGGAACATTGAAATACACTGTAAGTTGGCTGCATAATAAAGGCGACCTTGATGAAGAAATTATCTCCAGAATTAAACTACCTTGCAAATCCTTCGTTTCTATGGCAAATTTATATTACAACGGTAATATCTCTTGCTGTTGGACTGGCCAGTCTTGGTATAGGCATGTAAGATCTGAATTTTAAAAGCAATAACGACAAAAAAGTGAAATCACTTGAGATGTGGTGTTACTTTTGGATTTTCACGATGTTATGTACGATACAAACCACCAAAGAGGAGGTGCTTAGAGAGAGTGAGTCTTACCGTATTAATCACCAACGTCAAGGGAAGAAGAACAGAATAATTTGGTCATATCCTTAAAGGATCTAAATACTAGCTACTGGGACTAATTAATTCAGTAAAAAGTCACAGGAAGACAGTGGATTGACTGTAAGAAACTATTTTGGTTACACAATATAAAAGAATTAAAGCTTATTACAATTTCAGCTTATTTAAAATTAAATTATTTAATATAATTATAATTAAATTATCTAATTATACTAAATGATACCAATTATGCCGCAAATTCCTTGGCAGAATGCAGTAGGACTGGTTATCAATATTAACAGAGGAACCTAATAAAAGGGAAATACCACTATTAGTAAGTCTGTAACATATCGAGGATACATTATTTATGTTTTTTAAATAACAAGCATATAAAATCAGAAATAGGTGTTTATTGAGAGTAAACTAAATGTAAAACCAAATACTTGTCGGGAACCAAACACTTACTCATGTTATGAGGTGTTTTTCCTCATGATCTGTGGAATCACTAACAGGAGAATTTTACTGTAATAATTATGGCATGTGGTTGTCTTTTTAAAGACAAATTACATGCTATGATTTTTTTCTGACGCATATTCTCAAGTTAAAGAAAGTTGATTTCATGTAATCGAAAGAACTATATTACAATAAAGTCATCCTAGGAACGCAACTCAGCAGTATTGGCAATATTATTTTAGAGTCATCTACTTTAAAATGTATAATAGATGTCTCAATTATCAATATAAATGAGTCAGAAAAAATTAAATTAGTGGAAAAGTTTTTCACTAAGCAACAAAATTTGTTTAATTTAATAACGTTTGTATTTTGAGACGTCAATAAACTTACTTTAACCTTCAATTGTGGCTTATTTATATTAAAATAGTAATAGACGTATCTCAAGTAAACAGTAAAAGTAAAAATGAATTATACAAACGACTGTAATAAATATAGAAAATGAAATCCTTATAAACATTTTGTTATAATTTTAATTTATTCGTTGTTTTCAAAAATATTTAAAATAAAATTTTTATTTTGTAGGCTGAAGACGAAGAACAAACAAGCATGTGGTATAAACAATTACAACACCATGCACAGGGAATGGGAGCTTGGAGAAAACGAAGAAACGCTTTGGCAAATATCATGATCAATGGAATGGGCCTGCGTTCTTAAAATCAGTTGAACTATGGGCTATGATCTCAATTGTCACAAATGCAAAAGTCATTGTTATTTACACATACCTGTTAAATTCACTTGAGCTTCTTTGTATTGTATACAAAAAACGTTGAATGTAAAAATAGCGTAAGTAAAGTAAACGCAGAATTAACTTTAATTCAAACTTGTTTCAACAATATAGGTACGGAAAAACCCACTCTATTTGAACTTAAGATCTCTCCACAATCTAGTTATCCTTGGTTATCTGATCTCAGTCCCAACTGCCCAGTAAATTTAGTAATTACTTTTTGCTACTTTGGATAAATTTTGACTGGGTGGCAGCGGCTAGAAATAACTATACCCAGTAATTATACTTACTTGAATGCTGTTTAAAAAATAAAAATACATCAATTCAGTTTAAGTTTATTTTAAAAATCTAGTCGTTGATAGGATAGTATTTACAAATGGAAAGTTTTTAATGAAAATTAATGAATATACACTCCCATTATTCATGATTATTCTTCTTTTTTTGATGAAAGAAATCAGCAACATGAATCAATAATCAGATATTTAGGTGTCGTACTAAATGATAAGTGGCGAATAGAACAGGCTATGAACATGTACAATAAATGAAAACAAATTATCTATAATCGAAAAGTAAGCTTAGACATCCGAATTAGAGTTTTTAAATACTACCTTTGGTTAGTCCTTTTGTATGAAGTGAAAAAAAGACATTAAAACTAAATACCATAAAACTACTAGAAGCCTTTGAAATGTGGTTTTATCGCAGAATGCTCAAAATATTATGGACACAACACATTACCAATCCAAAAGAATAAACACCATAAACAGAAAGTTAGAACTAATAACAACCAATAAATATAGGACCAAAGAGGAGTAGGCAGAAAAGCCATGTCATGGCTTCGCAATATCTGAATTTGAATGGTCAACAATTACATAAGAGTGGCAGAATAAAGAACAACTTAATGTAGTGATCGCAAACCTCCAGTAATGAAGTAAACCCGAAAGAAGAAGAAGCAACATTAAGTTAATTTAAGCTATTAATTCTAAGAAGTAGAAAGTTTTGTGTTTGATGTTTCCGACAATGAATCTGTCAAAATATTCCTGAGCTTAGTGACTAAACTGCCATATTTTCCAAACTAATTTGCTCTTAGGACGTGTCAGCAGAAAAAAAATGAGAAAAAAATGGCCTACAAAAGCCAGGAGGTATAATCTAGATAGCATTCGACATATTAACAGGAACACTTTTTTTCAATACGAAAAATTGCTTAGTTTTCACTTATCAGATATTGCTCAGATAGATAGATGGGTAGACAGGCATACAGACAGTCAGACAAAACGATATTTTAATAGAGATCTGTCAGGCCCTTAATAAGATTCAACCTCTTTCCTTACACAATACCCACTGTATCCGCCTTAATTTAAGTAACTAAAAGTTAAATAGATTTATAAATTGTCAAAGACTAAGGTCAATAAACGAATATTTTATTGTTACCCTTAAGTATTATGCCATTATTGTAATTTAAACAATATCAATATGAATGCTTCTTAAGCTTTTTATAAATGGACCCTCGTTCAAATAGAGAAAGTGCTTCTGTAGTCGATATTAGTCTATGAGTAATTACTTAAATTAAATAAGTAAAAGCTAATAACTCTTCTATCATATCCAACCATGCAACCACAGGAACATAGGAACTATATTGAGTACTTTTTAACACGTGCTTGGATTGGAGGAACCCTTCATATTTTGCTTTATATAAATTTCATTTATATAAAGGGAAATATAAAAGATTGCGGTAATTATGCGGTAAGTATTAGTAGTATATCGCCAATTGGAAAGCTTTACGCAAACAAGTACTAGCATCCCGAATAGAAAAGGAATCCATGAAAATTAAAGAGCAAAATAGATTTTGATATAAGCAATCCTGCATGGATAATATATTTTTTATAAAACAATTGACAGAAAAGGGATTAGCAAAGGGAACAAAGCTTTACGCCACATTCATAAGTCAATCGACTTCGTTTTTTTTTTCAGAACCTATGGATAGCAATGAATGAAGCAGGTATAAATTGTGTATATATAGACGCCGTCAAAGAAATATATAGGGCTAACCAAATGGTTGTTAAAATTAAAAATCAAACTTTTGAAATTTTAGTGCAAACAAAAGGTCTAAATCAGTGCTCCTACCCCTTCCCAGTCGTTTAAAATTGATATACGCAAAACTTTATAAAACAGTGGACGAGAAACTGCAGCCCCACTGGAATACTGATAGAAGGCATTAACAATATTATATGGCAATAACAATACCAATAACCAGGTAGTCCTTGACAAAGACTTGCATGACATTACATACATGATAAACAAACTTATTGAAGAATTTACAAAATGGGGTTTAGATATAAATATACAATATACTTAACTATAGAATACCTGAAGTAGTAAGGTGAAACTATAGAGTACATGAGGAAGTGAAGATATAATAAAAGTACTTGGCTCAATCTTATGGAGTAAAAACGTAAAACAAAAACAAAAAAGAATAGGCATATAGCACGCTATGATTCAGCCGGTACTGACGTATGGGTTGGAAACTACCTCATAAGAACTTCTCTCAACCATAATGTTGGTTTAACATAATGTTCTGTCAACCATTAAAACAGTTAAAGTGGTATTAACATTTGTATAGAATGAACGAAAAGAGGATATCTTTAAATGTTATTAAAATGTTATTAAAAATTAAATGTTTGGAAATTGACACCACCATATCGCAATAAACTAGGGAGACCAAGAAAGATGGATTTCAAATCTTCAGGACGAAATAGAGACCGAAACAGTGGGAAACAATGGCGACTGGGATGCAAGAAGCGACATTAAGCTGCAAACACTCGCCTTTCACTTATTCCAAGTTCATGGTGTAACAACACAATGACTTAATTTCAGTAAAGTCAATTGGTTTAGTTTAGTTAACCAACACAAGAGGTGTGGGTTAAGGCTACAGCACTACAACCATCAAAGGTTAATGCTTCCTAAATGATTTGGTCAAATATATCTCATATCATATTACTTTTAACAAGTAGGTATATCGGGTTTGTATTTTTATTTAGATGGGTGCGATTAAAGAAAGAAGAAAAATAAAACTCTAACACCTGCATCTAAAAATAACATTTTCTTAATACTACAGGCCTTCCCATTGTGTGTATGTGCTTTATTATCCCGAAGTAGCTGGAAAGGCTTCTTTAAGGTTAGCTTGCTACCTTTTACGTCATCAGTTTGTTTTTTCGTATTTACAATATCTTTAAGGAATCCCTTTTAGATATTAATCTTTCGAATGACCCTTTGACTGAAGCTTTTAAGACATATTTCTGCAACTCATTATAAACATACATTTATAGCCAGTTTTCTTAATAGTCTGCCTCTTTCATCCGAACCCATTCATTATTTTTGGATCCAATAGAGCACAATACAGTCACAATTGGCTAAATTTCCACGTTTCCTAGAGTAAGGAATTTTTGCAAGCATATCCGCGGTTTTGGTGTCCATATTGGCTCGAGAATTATGATTATGTGGATGAACTTAGGATATTTTATTCCATTTTTCAGAAAGATGTATTTACAAATGTAAAATACATATTTCTAAATAATGAAAAATATTCGGAGTTTTTAATTTCAGGTCTTAATATTTAAATGGACAGTGAATTGGGTTTTACCAAAAAAGTCATTTAATGTAATTTAATAAAGGTCTATATATTACAGATTCAATTATTTTATGTATACAATTCTGCGTTTACTAGAAAACCTATTAGTATTTTTAATCAGCATTTTTAAATTTTTCTATGTGCTTTTGCCAATTAAAGACGCCTGTCTCACATCACTTTAAGTGTCCCATTAACGTACCATTGGTATGTGAGTTGTATATAATTACTAGTAATTTAGCTGTGATATTGTGGATTTTCCGGTTGTGGGGTTAACTATATATGTTTTATTTTAACTAGCTTAGATGTATTTAATAATATATGTATTTAAATTCTAATTTAAAAGTAAAATTATTTCTTGTAAAGGAAATTTTTATTTTAGAATAAAACACTCAACGTATTCGTAATTGTTTTATTTTTAGATGTGATATTGCTTATAACATGGAGAGCATAAGCAATAATTCAATACTAATAACTATTTAGTTTACCTGCAGATGCGTTAAACCCTTTAAGGTATACTGCGTTCAGACATATCAATATAAGATCAATTATAGAACACCAATCAACGCACTTTGCTTTTAGGGTTTTTTTTATGAAAGTATTCGAAGCAATTTACACAAAAACCAGGACTTCCAGGACATTATTTGCATTAAAACGTCGTCGGTTTCCTCAAATTATTTTGTCTGCAGCTTTTACATTCCTTCATAGACACACGTTTGGTCTCAGCACGTTCTGTCTTCATTTCATTTATTGTTTTTTCAATTTTTGAAATGCAGTGCATAGCATTACGATGACTTTTTATAAGTAAAAGGAGGAACAAGTACATCATCATTTAAGGCTCACAAATTTTTAATTACCTCAATTCGAAAGTCGTAAAAACGAAGTCGAGGCCCACTAGAGTGTTTTCTATGTAGATAGTATGCATTTATCATACTCATTTATGGATCATTTTTTTTATTAACATTAAGATTTTTTACAATATGTTTCACAATAAAAACAATAAGTAAAATTGTTTGTCTTTACAATGTCACAGAGATGTAAGGTCCAGTGACGAAAGACGCATCATAACACAAGTCTTGTCTTCTTTGGTGGGATGCGCATATACACAGATACGCGAACACTAATACTAAAAGCGGATTCTTCTTCTTCTTCACATACCATACACCAAAGTGCGTAGGCGACTATCTCATTACTAGAATTCTGTTCCAGGCGGCGTGACACAGCTCGCCTGTATTGTGTATTCCTGTCCATTCTTTAACATGCCTTAACCAGGATAATTGTTTGCGGCCGGCTCCTCTCCTATCTTCG